CTTTTCTGTACTGAAGTGTATTGATCTGTTGTCATTGCCAATAAATAAAGAAAAAAAAAGGAAAAAAAGAAACAAAGTGACTGGGTAACCATTCATGCTGCAGGGAACAGAAAAAAAAAATAATTATGCTTTTCATTGGAATTCACATCCAGTTTCTATATACATGTAAACTATGTGTTTATGCATTGTTATGTTTACTTCTTCTTGGACAAAAATGTATACCATATGCCTGTATTAATTTGCTTTGCCACGAAATGTCGACATCTGAATATTTTGCTAGTTATGTTTATTATGTTTAATTACTTGTTACTTTGCTACATGTTTGGGTGCAGGACAAGTTTTCAATGCTTCATAAATTGTTTTAGGTAAACTTAGACACTATTTTGCAAGTACTAGTAGTGCTGCATACCGGTTCACTGGACTGGGATCCAGACTTGTAAGAATGTTTAGGTTCAAATCCAAAAAAACCTAAAAGTCAAGAATCGAGTCCGGACTTATTACCAGAAAAGACCATTTCACATACCCCTTTTCTTTCCAAACCACCTTAAACCTTCCGTACATTACAAAATCTTTGCTGCAAAATGAAGAAAACATTGCCATCGGGCATCGTCAAGTACCTCCATGTTATGTGGCCAAAGTTTCACCCAGACAACATTGCAAGGTTGCCAACATGCAATATTGTATGCCATGGGTTTAGGTCTGGACTTACAAGTCCGGAACTGAACCTAAACCTCTGGACTTGAATCCGGACCTGAACCTAAATTTGGGTTTAGGTATGCAGCACTATTTGCAAGTAACTATTAAACATGATTACTTTTCCTCTTCACTGACAGGGTACACAGCATTTCCATTGTGCTGGTGTCTCCTTGTACTGCTGTCCACAACTACAGTGTTAGGGGAAGACACAAAGGAAACATTTAGTATCACCGTATTTGAAGGAGAAAATGTCAGACTGGGGGAGTTTCCATACAACTGTACAGCACCTCCCCCGGACAGTGTCATCTGGTCGTTCAAAAGACCTGACGAGGAATCTTACACACCACAGTCGTGTCCGCAGGAATGTGGCAATGGTTGTACGATGCGTAATCACATCATTGATCTTCCCGCGGTCAGTCGAACGTGCCGCGGTTCCTATCAGTATGTCACGGGTAGGGACGATGATGGCGTTCGTTGGACGTGTACCTACGACTTAGACGTACAATGTGAGTTTGGTTTCTGGTTTATGATTCCTTTTGTAATTGACTCTTCAGCAGCCACTGAAAAGTTTAAGCTGAAAAATGTCTTGATAGCCAAGTTAATTTCTCCTCACTACCTTAAACGTCGGTCACAACCTGCCGTACGTGCTTTTTGTCCATACGTTTTTTTTTAGTCTACGTCTGCTACGTTTTTTCTGAAACGTGGGGAAGGAGTGGCGTCTACGCACGTCACTCGCACTTTACTCGCACGGTTTTGCAAGGTATAAGAGTGTGGTCTGCACGCCACGTCTGGCCGTGAGCGGTTGCGTGCATCGTGTGTTGCGCAACTGGTGAGTGCTTATAACATACAATCTCTGTGCGATTGCAACTTTACCGTAAGGAGGACGTACTCACACGTGCGTCTTTCATACGGTACGTACGGGGCACGCGCATCGCCCGTACTCGCACGCACGGGTGGTGAATCCGTAGACCACACACAGAAAAAAGTTTTACATGCACTTAAAGTTCTACGGCGTGTCTGCGTGCTCCCAAATCCGTAGGATTCCGTACGGAAGCGGTACTCACCACGCACGGATGCCCTGCATTTGCCCACGTTTTTGCACGTAGACAGCACGCAGAAGCATGTACGGCAGGTTGTGACAAAGGCTTAACCCGCTCACCTACATGTAATATATATAGATTTTGTGCCCAGTGGGTATCTAAGCAGGCTTAAGGTTAATTGTCTTCGTCAGAAGGACTATGAAATTGTCTCACCGGAGTGTGGGGAACTGCGGATTTTGCAATATAACATTGGAAGGCATAATTCGACGTCCATGATTTTTGGCAGGCATATTACCGCTGTTGAGGCCAAAGTCAAGTACAAGTTTCGGCTTCGTGGGGGGTCTGTGCGTCACGTTAGTGCACCTTTTGTGTTTGTGGCTTGTTAGCAAGATAACTCAAGTATTTGTAAAATGTTGATTATAATTCTTGGTGTGGTGCTTACTATTGTTGGAACCAAGGTTAAGTTCGTTACTGAGCTTCGTGGGGGGTTTAGTTGTGACTACAGGGGGCATTTTGTTAATTTTTCTTGTGAGCAGGATAACTTTTGTATGTGTGGATGGAAGTTAATGAAATTTGATAGGCATAATACTGTCGTGGTCTCCAAGATTGAGTTCAAAGATGAGAGTCGTGGAGGTCGTTATGTCCCCGTAATAGGACCTTTTGTGTTTAGAAATCCCCCACCTACATCTGCTTGGAGAAAGCCGACAGCTGGATATAGCCGGGGAACCCCATAATGGGATGGGATCAAATGACGTTACATTGAGGGATTGTACTATAACTTCAGCAGGGGGAGGATAGGTTGGACATGTGTCAGGTTATTTTCTACGGCCACACCAAGTAATTGCTATGGATGACGTCCACTGGAGACCTTAAATCTAATTACCTTAAATTTAAGGCAAGCGCGCACTAAAAACACGAAGGGCCGAAAAACGAGATGTCATAAAGACAAATTAACAAAACAGCAGTAGTCACCCTGTTCTGATTCTTTCCTTTATAACATCTTTTCTTATTATATTTTGCGGCGCTGTCGTGACACTTTCAACACAGTAAGAATTCTTGACGTTTTTTTCCAGTAACAGTCCAAACTCAAAGTAACTGGGGGGGGGGGGCGTAACACGGGTGACGACGCATCTGTATAATCTGCGGCAAACCGTTTCAGGGTGTTCTGTACCATAAAAATAGTACAGAGATTCTTTTGTTCTTTAGACCAAATTGATTATTAAAAAGAGTGAAGAATACGCATGTTAATTTCTCTAGAACGATGTACCTCTGACGAAGACATGAGATCTCCGACCTCTAGTTCTGATATGAATCTGAACTTTTGATGCATCTCCAGTTCAGTAAAGCAACACATTATACTGTCAAAAACTTATTATATAAGTTATGATTATCTCCTAAATGTTTGGTAAAATGTGGACTTCACATTCAATATTTTAAGCCAAATTTTTGCATACTACAGTAACTGTATCTTACTCCATTTCCCCTCTCTGTAATGAAATGAATAATGGATACACAAGCAAGCATACAGTGAAATACTTGTACATTGAATCCAAAAATCTTTTTCAAAGAGAGAATTTAACCTTATATGAATTAGATTGTTAGGACAGAATGATTTGAATGGAGATTTTCATTCAGGAAAATGTTGGTCAAGTATCAATACTTTTCATTTAATCCCCAGACTTGCCAGGAGAAGTGTACATCAGTAACCGCACCCCGGCTGTGTTTGAAAATGACAGTGTGGCCATGATGTGTCAAACTGATGACTTAGGGAACCCACCAGCGACTTTCACCAGTCCAGACTTCCCAGCCTCAAGTTCTGAGTCGACCAGCCTGACTAACCTGTCTGCGAGCAGGAATGACAACGGGAGAAACTTCATCTGTACTCTTTACTATGAAGGTCAACGCCAAAATGGAGATAAAGTCATTGAAAAATACGAGGACACTGCCAGTCTTACTGTATACTGTAAGTTCACTTCTCTTTTTTAACCCTTGTCCTGCTGGCATTCCTGGCACAATATTTTTCAATAATTTCATGTCTTAATTAGATCATAGACCCCCAAATTTTTTTGTCCTGCAGTGGCATAGTTACTTCCGCATTCGCTGCGTTTCACTGCGGCTAAATATCACAAACATTTACTCAAGTACATGTACAGGGAGTTTCAGAACTACAACTAATGGGGCATGTTGGCATGTTTTGGGGCAGTTTTGACGGAATTTTTTCTATAATGTGGCATCGGGTGGCGTAGTGATAGGTTATTCGACTGTGAACTGGGAGACCTGGGTTCGAGCCCGAGTCGTACCCGGTACATGTCTGAACATGCACCCGACGTTGTGTCCTTGGGAAAGGCACTTTATACGACTTTCCTCACTCCACCCAGGTGTGAAAGGGTACCTAACTTCGGTTGGGGAAAGCCGTATTGAGGTCACCTTGTGGTGCCAAATGGCAGCCGCACAGACCCTTGCGGCAGTTCCACAAAACTGTGGAACAAATATGTATCATGACATTGTGCATTATGTGTATAAGTATGTGTATTATTACCATTTGTATCATCTGATTGTAAACCCTGCATCAATTCAGCACTATAAGGCTGTGATTGCACGGGTGATGTTTGGCCAATAAATATATAATTCATTAAAAAAAAAAGAAACAGGAAATTTTGTATAGATGATAGATCATACAATCTATAGACTATACAGTCAATGAAGCAAATCCACATACATACACCATGTGTGGGTGCAGGTTATGAATATCTGCCAAGTAAACATCAGAAATATGTGTATATAATGTTCCAACTAAGGCCACACCAACTTAATTTTATGGATGACATCCTCTGAAAACCCCCAAACTAGTGCGCCCGGACGAAAATAAAAATGCTACTAAACCACAGGAATACAAAGGCAAAGCTGGTATTGTGAATTTGCGGCAGAACTGCGGCAGAACATAGCGACGTATACAACAAGCCGGCATATGCTGGCTTTTTGCGGATTTATGAATCAAGACTGTATGTACTGAGTATGTACTGAGGTCTTGAGTCATGGAGTTTTGGTAGCCTGGGTGCCGTCCTCCAGAGTTACCACCGGCTCCGTACTGTCGCTATATACATTGTAGCAAGCTACCATGGACTATCCAGGCCTGAACCTCGGATGACGTGATCTTTTTTTTTTTTTGACAACAGACGAAAATAAATGGGCGCGGATGTCATCCATAAAATTAAGTCGGTGTGGCCTAACATGCATTATGTTTGGTACAAACCCTGTATTTAATCATTTTCCCAGATCTTCCAACAGAAGTCACCATACAGGGTCTTAACAACAACACAACTCTAAAAGAAGGGGAGGAGGTTATCTTAAACTGCACCTTCCACGGCTTCTATCCACGACCCAACATCACCTGGTGGAAGGATGGTGAAAAACTCACAGAAACTTCTGAGACCTTGGTGTTGACGTCCTTAAATGACAAAGGAGCGTATGTGTGTGAGACAACTCTGAACATTCTCAACCAGGTTAGATGGAAGAGAAGCACAGCAGTGTATGTCAATGTCTCTACTGGTGCTGGGAGTGTTGGTAAGTACAAAAACCATCACCTTTTAATTCTTAATATATAATATATAAAAACAAGTCTGCCATCATCTATACCAGGATTTCTCTCAGTGACAACAGGTATTTATAAGGTTAGTAGTGTCAGGACAAAGGAGTGTCTAGTGTGCTCTCTGTGTTGTTATGTTTGGGCACTTGAATCTGATTTAACCTTTGAATTATCGCTTGTATCTTTCATACTAACAGCCAGGTCTCATAATGTGCAATCATTAAACAATCATAAACCATGGACATTCTAGTCATGTACTAGTATGTGAAATTGAAATTCTATTGTTCTCGTAGCTAGAGGGATATCCTTCATTTGCAAACACAATGTTTTGGCTTAAGAGGTATTTCCTGAAAGAGACGGTCGCTAGAGTTGAGGGTTGATGCAGAATCGAATTGAGACCCAAAATAAACTGGGGTGTAAAGTAAAGACCTTTGAATTTGAATTTTCAGATCCACCATTCGTACCAACTGCACTTCCTCACACCGGTGGCCTGCCAGGATACGCCATAGGAGGCCTGGCAGGGGCGGGGATTGTACTGTTAGTCATCATCCTGCTGGTGTCAGTCATCTGTGTACACAAGAGATGGGACACTGGTCGTGGTAGTAAGTTTTCAAATGATATATATTTATTAATATATGGTGTCTGTGTGGTGTAGTGGATAGAGCGTCCGACTGTCAAGCAAGAAGACCCAGGTTCAATCCCCAGGGTTGGACCCAGACATGTCCGGACATGCACCCAGACGTTGTGCCCTTGGGAAAGGCACTTAACACGCATTTTCCCCCTCAGGTAGAGGGTTCCTGGGCCCTACTTAGGTTTGGGTTGGCGTTAGGAAGAGCATCCAGCTGTAAAAATCTGGCTTCAAAAAAAGACTTGTACCTGGTGCAAGCAATTGTCTACTCGGTTGGGTTAAGGCAGCCTATGGCATACTATGAGTAGTATTTCATACATATGCCTGTAACTTTTGATAGCTTGGTCGCACCACAACTAAACTTCACACAGTTCTAGTAGTACTTGAAACACATTGAATAAAGGTTATTTTGTTTTTACTACTTCTGGATTTTTGGGTTAAAAATCAACATTTTGGTTAAAAAAAAGCTGTTTACTTCATGGCTTTACGCGCAAGCGGTAACAACACCTTTCATCATGATATTTTACAAGTAGAAAGCCAACCCCCTATTTATTATTTTTGTCCGAGGCTATTTTGTTTTAAATGACAGTTACATTGTTTTTTGGGCCAAAAACGGCAGAAACAGCTATTTTTCTGTCATTTTTCGTTAAAAAATCGCCACAGTTAAAAAATATCGACTTATATGCAAAATAACCTCGGACAATTTTGATAAAAAAGTGATAATACGTAAACATGGATTACTAAAAGGATCAATTATGCTGTTTTCAGCTGCGCGTAAAGCCGTTTAAGTCATACTCCGTGAATAAAATGCGTAACAACGCGGGTTTACAGGGGAAACATACAAATGACCGCCGGTAACCCCGAATTCGAACACGCGTTCTATTCGAATGACGTCATATCGAACATGGTGGAACATGATTCGGGTTCGAAACATGTATGTGGCAATCGTGCAGACACACGCCCGAACTCGAACATGAGTATCAGCCTAGGCCGCCTTAACCCAACCGAGTAACCCCCGGTTGGGGAAAAATGATGTTAAATTCGGTTAAAAAAAAATATGATAATTATGAATCTTTATTGCATGTTCTTGCCCAGATGGGCTAAATGCACAAAAGGGTAAAACTATGCAGTATGCAAAACATGACTATTTCTTACTGGAATGCTATATTCTAATGCAAAGTGCTAAAAATCTAATATACATTACAACAATACTATATACTACCTATCATCTACTGTTAGTGTAATGCCGTGCTTCTTCTCTCTTTTTGAAGCATTTGGAAACATAATTACATAGTTTGTCTGCTATGCATTCTTGCATGACATCAAGTGTTTAAACATGTCCTGCTTTGACATTTTCTTACATATCAGTATATAAGTATCGAATAGCTCTTGGCGTTCATCTTAAAGTTTATATAATGTACACTCAGTCAAGTAGGAAGTGTATCTCGTTTTCAACATATAAATGATTAGTATATATACAGAATTCACACGTTCTATCTTTCAGAGGGGTACGGCTATGCCTGCCGGATTCTATATATCAGAAATATACTTAGATAGTTACTTATAGATATATCAGATAAACAAAAATAATTTGTAGCTACATGTAAATTATACATGTACACATACTGCAAGTTTATTTAAGTTCTTGATACACATATTTTGCTTCACTGTGACTCAATGATTTGCTGTGTCAAATTGCAATTGAAACAATAGGACAAACAATAGGACAAAATCCTCCGTGAAGTATAATGTGAGTTAAGCATAGTGTTAATTCAAGCTTTAATAATTTTGGTATAGTAGATTACTCAATACCTAGAGCTTTTAAGTTAGAACTTAATTGTTTTTAGTTTGCTACTTATTAAATGGATTGTGTTCCTTTTATTCAGGAGGGGACCAAAGAAATGGAAGACACAATGTCCCCTATCAGCAAAATGGCTTCCAACTTGGACAAGATGTGGTAAGTCATGACAATGTCATTTTCTTGATAACTTCTAAAAAGGAGGCGGTACATTAAACCTTGTGTGTAACTGTATTACACTGTTTATGTTAGTTTGGTTCCTTCAGTCTTTGTTTGAAACTTGGTCGGCCCAATTTATAATACTCAAAACAGTTACTACACATGCAATGCCAATAACATACATCATAATAATAATTACAACTTTATTTTAAAAATTACACAAGTGCTACTGATGGAATTGTTCGTAAAGACCGTTCTTGAATGACCTTGAGGACCGTGACTTGCAATTGTGGACTGCAAAACAAGTGGAAGGTCGTTCTACGTGAAACACTTCTTCAAAGTGTTGGTTCTGATGTAAAATATGACCTAGAAGCAAAGCAAGCTCTGTGACTTTGCTGTTCGCTAACCAAACATAGTTTTCTACTAATACATACACTGTCAGGTTCTTTGAAAGTCCCTTTGTTTATTTGGCCACACCGCCTTAATTTTATGGATGACATCCGCGTGAGCATTGATTTTTGCCTGTTCTCAAAAAAAAAAAAAAGATTACGTCCTCCCTCCGAGGCTCTGGCCTGGCTCTAGGCCTGGGTAGTTCATGGCAGTTAGCATCATACGGAGCCGGTGGTAACTCAGGAGGATGGCTCCCAGGCTACTGAAGCTCCACGACTCAAGAACTTAGTACATACGTACAGTGCCGATTCATAAATTCCGCAGAAAGCCAGCATGTGCCGGCTTGTCGTATACAGTATGTCGACATGTACTGCCACAAATTCACAATACCGGCTTTGTATTCCTGTGGCCTTGTATCATTTTTATTTTTGGCCAGAATTTTTTTTATTCGCCCGCGCGCACTAGTTTGGGGGTCTTCTGAGGATGTCATCCATAAAATTAAGTCTGTGTGGCCTTTCCTAAAATCCTCAAAACAGCCCACTGGCCATTGATTTTCATTGAAATCATGAGGTCAGACAAAATATAACAAGGTTACGTTTACTTCTAACAAATTCATAACCATAGTCTCAATTAGTATATCCTTTAACCCATACATGATATGTACAAAAACAAATGTAACAATGAATATGGGCATGTAATCCATGGTTGTTAATGATTATGTATGATTAACTAATCTCCATTCAACATTGTTGTTACCATCCTGAAACCTGTTGGTCATATCACACTAAAAAAAATTGCAAAAAATTAGAATAAGAGATATTATTGATAAATAAAGGGAGAATACTAGCTAAGGGCACCTTGTGATCACTAACTAAAGGCTAAAGTTACGTAGATGAAGGTTAGACATCCAGGTAATAAGATACGCCAAAAAGCAGTTACTCAAGCAACTGGATATGATTTTGAAAACAGTCAGACGTTTCAGCTAGCATCCAAAGAAGTGAAGACAAAATGTAACATTTGTCAATCAACAATTTTGTCTTTACTTATTTGCATATCAATCTGTAGTTTAATTATAAACCTGCATTTCTTCTCTGGTCTCTCAGTCACTGACAAAAGCTAGTGGATACTAGCTGAAACGTCTGACCGTTTCTAAAATCAAAGGTTAAAGTTTTTAGTATAATAACAGAATTTTTTTGTATTCTGCAGAGACCCTTACTGAATACCGGTCATCCAAATGGTAACTTTTCTATTCTACATGATGTTGTTTGACTTTTCATGTTGTTTCATCTTTTACAGTCATTTTGTTTGTAGTAACTGTGTAATGCTGTGATTCTGTATCTGTAGCGGTATAGCCGGTGTAAGCGCCCTTCGATTTGATTGAAACCACTTCAAGTAAACGTCCAAATTTAATCCCTCCCATGCATCAGTGGCTGATCAGGACTTCAGTCTCTCTTCCTCCAACATGTTAAGCACCAGTGGAGGCCGCGGGCAGGAGATAATCATTCAGTGCAGAGATGCAAACATCTACCAACGACCTTGTAAGTATTGCCTCATTATCGTAGGCCATTTTGGAGATTTTTTTTTCATTTTTCATTGTTTTTCACACAAAAAAAAAAGAAATTACAAGGGACAATGGCACGAAATACAACAAGTTAATACAAAAATAAATATACATTATATTGTTGTATTTTAGAAATGAAATACAACAATACTTTTCGTTGAAGAGGTTCATCAGTCAGGTAAGATTGACAGTTAGTAGAACATTCATCAATCAGTGACTGTTTTGAAAGGTAAAATGTGTACCGCCAAATTTTCTATGTCAACTGTACTTGTTGTTCACGGAGTGACCTAGTCTCGTGTCCTTGTTTTTACAAAAGTTGTAACTTGCTTCCATTTTATTCAGGTGATTCAGTGTCCTTGAAAACCCCATCAGACCCCTCCATGCAGTTGTCATCCCTTAATCCCACCTCATATCCAAATGAGACCTCCAGCAGTGTGGAACCTCGGAGTGATACCACCCCTAAGCAGCCCCCATCCTCAGACCTATTCTCCAAGAATGACAACCATGACTCAAGCGACAAACCAGAAAATACTGACAGCACAGACATGTTCCCAACTGCCACAAAGGTTCCTTACCAAAGTCAGGACCTAAGCAGCGATGGCTACCCGAAAACTGGAACCAGCACTGAGGACGGCAACCCACCTTCTTCCTCAGTGTCCTCTGACCCTGACGTCACCAACCCAAAACTAGCAGCAGATGATTCTGACGACCTTGAAGGTTCTAGCGATCCAAGGTCACTCCATTCTAATCTACACCTCCCCTCCCTGCCAAGTCTGGATGTTGATATGATGATAAGTTTAGACAGTGAAAACTCTTCAACACAAACCAACTCAAACCCCAACCTACAAGACAATGGTACATCCAACAGCACAGGTTTTACTATGGAGAGTAATAACCTGAACAAACCGGTTAACAAACCAGTACTTGACAAAAGCTCTGCAATTAAGAACCTGTCAGAGAGCTCGGAATCCACGGAAGAGTCCATTGAGTTTGAGGGGAGTAGTGGGAGGGACCTGGAAGCCCCCCCTCCCTTGAATGAAGATGTGGACTCTCTAAGGGAAAAGGGAGATGAGGTAAGGGCTTTTCCTGCTTTACTTTTGCATTGAAGGCATACTTGCTTTGTCCACTGCAGAACCTTACTAGTACTGATCTGCTTCAGGAGAGATTCTAAATTTGAAATTTTTAAAAGATATCTTTTCACAGTCCTATGATTTTTTCCATCATTTAGGCCACACCAATTTAATTTCTTGGTTAACGGATTCGCCGCTTCATTTTTTTCTGACTTGCAAATAAAAATAAAAATTCAGAATCAACTGTAAAATGCTCATATTTTGCCATGAACAGTTGAAAACAGTCCTTTTCATCCTAGTTGTTACAGTTATTCCATCTTCCAATGCAATGGTATCATTAAAAGTTCAAAATTCATTGTTTAAATTTTGAACCAGCCTGGTGTGTTGACTTCATGGCTCCTATCGTACCATTTTGGACCATAATAGGATGCCTAGGCCTGTTTTTATTTTTTATTTTTTTTCGCCCGCCCGCTCCATTATTTTTCTAGAAAAATCTGTTAAGCAAGAAATTAAATTGGTGTGGCCTTATTGTAATATTATATAATATATATAGTATGATAATTCTGTTTACTACATGTCTTAAGATTATATAGACATATGAAAGATGTTTTAGAGTTACCTTGGAAGTTTCTCAGTGTTGGTAGCAGTCATTCTGTATCAACCTGCCTACATGCTCAGACCAGGCACTGGCCCCTGGTTCCCCCTCGTATGGTTCCTCCAGTCAGTTCTGTATCAATGTTGGAGTTAAATTTCAAAGAAAAAGGATTTACCTAATAGTATATTTTTGAAACAGGCCACTGATGCTTTGTCTCAGACCAACTTCTTGACAAAAACTGGATATGGTCAGTCAAAAAAGTTTTGTGTAAGACCAATTTTTTTGAGTTGGAAATTACACTTCAACTTTGATTCAGAATGTTTAGGAATTGTCCTAGCTAGTGATTGATTAATGTCATTTCTGTTTGATGTATTTCTCCAGGTTGCTATCACTATAGACCTCATGTTGAAGAAGATACCACTGAAGACTGACCACCTTCAACTGTCAGTGGCTAAATTGACAAGTCTCTACATAAACCTGTCATACTCTGGTTCCAAAATTAATGACTGGAAGATGTTTGCTGGTAAACTAGGTAGGTGGTTTAAAGGAGTACTAACCTCCAGAAGGGAGTGCTATTTTCCGATACATCATGCTGCGATGAATATATAACTAGCCGACTTTTTACATAATTTCGCTTGTACGACTTGCGCGGCATAAATGAGGGGCGATAAGGACATCAAGAAGGGCAATGATTGGTAAGATACCAAGGAATACAAAATGGTATGAATTTTTCTTATCGCCCCCGAAATAAAGTCTGTAACGTAACTTTTTGTTTAAAACATAGACACCAATGGGGTAGCGTGGTGTATTCTGGGATAGTTTTGAGGGTATTTGGAGAGTTTGTCCTGGATTCGATGCATTTTAAGACTTTCGCGCAAAATGGGCATTTAATGGTATACTGTAAAATAATATGCATTTTTCACTTCCTAAAATTAATGCCTGTCAGAATATAGCACCCCCTTCTGGAGGTTAGTACTCCTTTAATGGATGTGAAACATTAGAATTATCATTTAAAGTAAAAGTAGTTTGTGTCGATGAAGGTTAGACATCCAGGTAATACGATATGCCAAAAAACAGTTACTCAAGCAACTGGATATGATTTTGAAAACGTCAGACGTTTCAGCTAGTATCCACTAGCTTTCGTCAGTGACTGAGAGACCAGAGGGGAAAGCAGGTTTATATACACAACCTGTTGATTGATATGCAAATAAAGTGAAGACAAATTTTTGGAAGTCGAAAAAAGGAACAAAAGTCAGACAAGTCAAGACAAGATGATGCAAATTAGTCTG